AATCAAATTCCATCATCTCAGCCTTCCTCACCATGCTAATGGCTTCCTGCAATGTCTAGATATTCTTCAACCCTATTCTATCTTGAAAAGCAATCTTCAAACCACTAGTATACCTAGCTACCCTATGATTTTCGGATTCTGGCAGATTATTCCACTTTGCCAATCGCATAAACTCATTTGTATAGTTCGATATTATGCAACTACCCTGCGTACATCCTAGGTAAATAGGATACAAAATTTGTTCATTATGTGTAGGGAATCGACCTATCATATGCTATTTCATCTTTTTCCAAGTCCGAATCCTACTATTTCCCTATTTCCTCCGAGTATTTTGTAATGGATCGCACCATACTCCCACTGCCGATTTCAAAAGCAATGCCACCATCTTAACCATCTTGTCTTCCGGCACATCCATAATTTCGAAAAGTCGTTCAACCTCCATCAACCAATCCAAAAAGTCCTTTATTTTCGAGTTACCAAAGAACGGAGGAATGTATGCTTTAATCCGATAATCATCAAAGGTATTTTGATTTTAATGATTACGTGACAGAGCTTCGAAGTCCTCCTCTGACTCTGATTCACTTTCTTCTGCTGTACGTCTCATATTATTTCCTCCTCGAACTACAGGCTCAACGATCTGTTCATTGTTATTTTCCTGTTGTTTATTCTAACCATTGTTTCCAACGCCCCACAAAAACAATCTTGGATTGCTTTTGTCTTTTCTTCATCCACCTGTATACCATCTTCACCAACCAAAAAGTTTAGGAACAATAGGTTATGTGTACAGAAAGTGCACTTCTTCAGGTTGATGTACATCTGATTCTCCTTCGGAACATCTAAGACTTGCCTCAATTGAACCAAGTGATCTTTTTTGGACTTGTTGTAAATGAGTATACCATCGAAATAAACTACAACATTACTGGATACTTTCCTGCTTCTTGATAGTGGTGTCAAATTTTTCTCAGATTGGTCATCTTGATTAATTTCGACGTGAATTCATTTGTGGTGTCAAATTTTACAAAATCATTTTTTAAGCTTGTGTTTGGAATACGAACAGATCTAGACGAGAGTGGAAATGGCAAAAAGTTAAAGTTCATCGTCTTCAAATTATGCAAAATTTTCAAATTTCGACCAACTTTTTGGAGGCTGACATGTTCATTTCAAGGCCAAAATTATTGATCTTTATATTGTTGAAAAGATTTTGAGAAGATCTATCAAATCACATCAAATGGGAAGCATGAAACATAGTGTAGAAGAAGTTATCACGTGATGAATTTTCAAGTTTTATCAATTTTCATGTAAAAAATCATATTTTCATCCCAATTTCATGAGGCCATAACTTCTTCATTTTAAGTTCAAAAATTAACTTCTTTATATGGTCGGAAATCTCATTGAAATACCTTTCTAACCATACTAATATTACTTCATGTAAAATCAACGAATAATATGCAGTAAATTTTGAAGGTTTTTTGCAAAATTGACCAGTGTTTCAATTTTCTAACAAATGAAATTATGAAAATTGATGAAATTTTGCAGTTGAATTCTAAAGCATATTATATATATAGTTCCAAAATTTCGTTAATTTTAGACACACACACACACACATATATATATTATCAAAAGATGTCATTAAAGGGCATATAAGGTTTCAAAACTTTACATACAAGATTCATAACTCAATTGAATCATGTAATGTCATAAGCATGTATTATAGCGAAGAACTAAACCTTATGGCTTTGATACCAATGTAGAAATTCGTAGCATGCGTAATAGTAAATTACGGGTCAAGAACATTTACTTGTAGCAATGCATTCCAAGAACTTTTGAATGACTAAATCACCTAGCATTTTAAAGCTTCAAAATTTGCATTTTTCTTATTTCTCCAATGGTCACAATCCCAACTACAAAGGAAGGAGATTATTATCTACAATCTAAATGCCTAATTTTGTGAGTTTTCATGCATTTTCTAGGCGCTTTTGAGTGATTTTCCTTACGAATTTCACACAATTTATTGTTATTTTTCTTTCTCATCATTCAATTCGAAGTGAGGGGAGTTATTTCAAGATTATGGAAGTGGATGAGAGTTGATGGAAGTTATGGGCTTGAATTCTATATAAACCACTCCTTCCAGTTCACTTTAATGACTTAAGGATCGGGTCACCCCACATGGACGATACCCAACCTGTATTTTCCAACAATTTGTTTCAATTATGTGTGTTGAGGAATTAAACAGAGGGCAAAACATTGGAAGCACAACTTTAGCCATATCCATTAATTTACACTCTCACTCTGTTAAAACAATATTGTTCAAAAAAATTATTTTGAGCTTCGTTCTTAATCTGGTTAAGTTAAACCTGCCTTGATGACATGCTAAAACAAGAAAGAAAAACATAGGAGTAATAAACAGCAAACAAATACGGTTTCAGATAAACAACAACAAAACGAGGATGAATTCAAGAAGCAATGGGAAGTTTCGAGGAGAGATTAAATTGTCGATGGACAAAACTTTTAACATTTGTGTCTGTGTGTGCGCGCGTGCGCATGGGATTTCCCGGTATTTGTATTTGCTGACAAGACAAATATTTGACTATGAATTCTATCACTTTCAGAAGGCATGGCTTGTCCCGCCCTAAAAACAAAATTATTTAGCAGTAAAACCAAAAACTGGCATCCACTAGAAGTTTATGGCAATACATAGTATAAAAATAAAACATAAATGAAAATGTCATTCTAATAGAAAAGGATTTTAAAATGTCCCATTCAAGATAATGAAGAAATTGAAATTAAAAACATTACCAATACGGTGGGAAACAACATCTGTTCCTTAATTAGAAGTTACAACTCACGGACTTGCCAAAGTGTCGACTGCATTTATGAGTTAGTGTGTCATGGCCGGAGTGTGACCGGCAGCTTCGCTCATTTTCCCATTGTTGGATATGTCTGTCCACTGCTTGTAGCAAGATCAGAGTGTAGCCTCATCCTTATAAATACTCATCATATATAACTAGGAGAAAAGATAGTCTCTATCCTTAGTTTACAACGGTTTACAAGGAGGTGAATATTCCAAAGACTGCTAATATTTTGGAGGTTGTCAATGGCCGGACTCGGCAGGATTTGCTGAGGTCTGGATCTGAATTTGATTAAAGTTAGCAACATTTGTCTATAATAACATTCACATCTGTGTCCAAAACTCGGTTTCTTTCATAGTTTTAGATTAACTGGACTACAGCCAAAACCGTTAAACCGAGTTGTTTTACAATGTTTAGCATACTAGACATTACTATGCAAAATAAATTTGAGTTCTTTTACATTCTTGGAAGTTGAAAAGTAAACTAGAAAAACTACTTATATAACATTTGATCGACTAGGACTTCCAAAGCAAATATTTGGCGATGAAACATGCTGTAGCATAATGATGAAATTATCCCTAAACTTTGTCTGATTCAAAATCAATCCAATAGGAGTACTGCTGATCAAAACTAGATTTTTCATAATAAAACATTCTTGTTCATTTTCACTGCTGTTTTTTTCCTACTTATTTATTTATTTTTTTCCTCTAGTTTACTCCATGGATATAGAATCTTGAAAAAACACACTCTGGCTTTGTACAGGAACAAAGAAAGATTATAGTTTGTATCCAAATCTTCAAAGAAGTGACATATTTTAGTTTTAAGGTCGCCATGTACAATTGCTCCAGTAACAATGCAATAAATGGATCGGCAATGAGGCTTCACCACATGCAGAAACAGCAACACCAGCTACTAATTACTGTTAATGTTATAATTTTTCCACACAATTACTGTGTACATAAAGGTGAAATTATCTGAAGACTAGACGAAACGAAACTGAAAAAGAAGAAACACAATAAATTAAAAACTTTATTACAGATGTATTCATTGAAAAGTTCATTATCGTTAAGGTACCAAATATGACAGTGTACTTCTATGGATACCCCTTCAGAGATTGAAGTATAGAATCAAACTGTAAAATCACCTTCAATAAGTGATACGCTCGCTTCAAATGCTAGTTTTCGGAGTATGCGCTTGTCCAATCAAGTTGTATTTAATTTAATTTGAGTATTAAAAGTTTTAACTTCTACAATTTCTTTCTAATAAATAAAATCAGTAAATACATTGTTAACACTCCTACAGAATCTATGATTCTATATTTTCTACACAAAGCCAAATATTTCCCATCAATTTTGTGTACTTGTATGCATACCAATAGAGTGAATATCTCATGTGGCATGGCAGCTTCCATATTCATATTATTTTACAGAAGAGTACGGTAGAAGTGAGAATGTTTGGCACGAAGATTCGATAATACTGGAAATTTTCAAAGGACCTCGATAATGGCAAAGATCCCAATGCTAAACGATGATATCATGATTATAACCTTGACGTGATCCAATGTGTCAAAACCTTGAAGCCATCAAAACAGAAAGAAGAGGCAAGATTGAAAACATAGAAAAGCAGAATCCCACAAAACTATAATACTTTCAAATAAGTACACAGCCAAATCAGTTATTTGCATTTTAGGTACAAGACATCATATCCTGAACGGAAGTAACAATCTCCCATCTGTCTGGCCTCAAATTCTCCCCCAACATGGATAAAAATAAAATTTTAGTCACACGATTAATAGCGAAGTTTTATGCTAGTCACCAAACTTTATTTTGTTTCAAATGATAATTAAAGTTTGCCTTTCATTTCAGTTTGATCAGTGAAAATCCATGAGTTTTCCAACAGATTGCTCAATGTGAAAGATTGCAATCTAAAGGGACATCGACATAGAGGTCTTCAACGTTGGACATTCCATTAGAAAAAACTCATGAACTTTAACTGATTTTCTAAACTACAAAAAATAGAGACAAACTTCAATAACCATTTTGGAACGAAATGAAGATGGATAACTAACACGAAATTTTGCTACAAGTAGAATTACTACCAATATTTTTTAAGCCCCCCCCACCCCCAAACCAACGTTGGAAGAGCTAGGATCTAGGAAGATGAATGCTCTGAGTTGAGCCCTAGAACATTTTCAGACCACAAGTAGTAGTCAAACTGTGAATCACCTGATTCTCTTCCCCTGAGTGCCAGTTGATGTTGTAAATTCTGGTTTTCAGCTCTGAGCTCAGCTTCCTTCTCTTTGCTTTCTTGAAGCTCTTTTTGGAGTTTAGCTTCCCTCTCTTGGCTTTCCTGGAGTACTTGCAGCGCTTGTTGAAGCTCAGCCTTGGTTTGATGTAAGTCCCCTATTGACTTCCTAACACGCTTTTTGGTTCGATTCCTGTTGAACCAGCTAGTAATTTGCTCCACATCCAGTCCTGTAGCAGTCACCAGTTCAGCCTTCTTCTCTCTTGTCAAGTGTTGGGATTGCTCAAATGCCATTTTGAGGGCATTAATCTGATATTCCTCAAATCGGTTCGCCATGACGCCTCAACCAAGCCTAGCATATTTACAATTTGCCTTCACTGCGCAAGATTTATAGAAAATCGAATCTGATAAAAAGACAAATTAGTTTTATGGAAAAAATTACTAGCAGCATTGAGACAAACAGGTGAAGTTAGTTATGACGACGATAACAATGAAAATGCTAAAGCACCAATCATAATTGCTGGTTTTGTAAGAAATACACGAATCAATTTTAACCTTATGCTAATGATATGAAGGAAAACCAGCTTTGAGAAACTCCATAACAGTGGGACTCTTACAGTCATTGCTGAATATACATTATAAGTTAACATTAAAGAAATAAAGATGAAACTTCTCTGAAAGAACTCAATTATACTATGAAGAACTCATCAAGATAATCTAGAGGTTAAATTAAAACTATACATTATTCAAAATCATATAAAATGCTAGTCTTGACAATTATAAACAATCCCTTAATTGCTCAATGTTCGTGAAATTCTGCAAGTTTACGGATCGTGATAAGTAATAAAGTGAATTTATTAAGTCCGAATATCGTCACATAGAGACTAATATCTACTATAAATTTTTAAACTAATATGGTTTCAATTTAAATTAAAATAGTAACTAATGATCAAATCAAGTTTTGTTTTCGAAGCGAAATTCTAATAAATAAAATAACAAACTATTAATTAAAATAACAAATTCAAATTAAAATTGGAGAAAAGATTATGCGATGAGGTAGTTAGGATTTTCGATTTCACTTATGTTATTTATCATACATTTAATTTCAA